AAATCACAACACTCGCTTTGTTTGCAAGAACACCAACTTTATGCACCAAGCAGTAAATTTGCAAATTATGGTATCATGAACAATTTGTTAGACAAGTTGAACAATGTTCACCTAAAACCAAAGGGGATTTCATTGGCTAAAATAACTTATAAGAGTATTTAATTCATAACCTGATTAGAGATCATTCGAAATTGCTTGGTTTATTTTGTAGAAACTATCTTTACATTCAGTACACTCTCAGAAAACGTGGAAAAATTGTACCTTTAGTGGTACAACAGCTTGTCACCAGGACAATAACCTCAAAGGAGGTGAGTAGTACCTTAAAGTCCCCATGAAAGCGTCCTCCCCCTACACTATAAAATAGATGCTGAAGTCGCAGCTGAAATCGGTCACTTGTCCACAGAATTAGTATTTTCTGTACAGTGAATGGCAAGTAGTGCACTATATAGGGGACAGGGAACGATTCAAACAGTGTAAATATGCTTTCCATTGAGGAAAAAAAGAAGTCTGGTTTCGCGCTGTGTCACGCTAACACCACACTGCACACACACTCTGCTCCGGTCCAGAGACACGATAGCACGGAGCAAATCTCATGCGCGAGTCGGTGCAGACCACAAAATGTGTCTGAGCTATTTGAATTCTACACAGAATGCTATATTTAATAGCAATATGGATGAGCTTGTGGCTGGCATACCCTGTCAAATGCGGCTTTACGGAGCTCAACGGCTCTGAACGGCTCTAGCCCAAGCTGTGATATAAACGAACACTATTGGCGATTTTAAAAAGGCACCTTGATAAGCCCCGCCCTGTCTTCTTGTTTCAGTTAAAATGACGTCAACACATAGAGTAACGCTGCGTGTTTCTAAGCATTTCAGGGGACCTTTAAGGGTTCATACGTATTACTACTCTAAAGCCCCACACACACTGCACAATTTTCGGCTGTCCCAGACGAAAGATTGGTATCGTAAAACAATCGTGGCGATTTCTATGATCATGGCTCCTAATCGGTGGTTCTGTGTCATACAGTGAGAGAGGTTCAAAGATGGCAGTTGTCACGGTCTTGCGACCAAAGATAGCCTACGATACAGCATGATCATCGTGTGTTTGCTGGTATGATCCACGTTTACTGACCAAACTATAAAAATGCGACATGAAATCAACGCGACATGGTGCTAAAACATAAAACAGCTTACTTCAAGCTCTTATGCCTTTCTCTTTCACCGCTTCCACTTTTTGTCAGCACACATAAAAACTACAACTGCTAAAGTATTATCATGCTCTTTTTGTTTACCACTAGCACATGCTGATGACGTTTTATTCTTCTATAGTAACGTGCATCGTAGCGGACGAGTCAATAGGTGTCATCATCGTATACACTACACACATGTCGTAGCTAAGTTTATTAGATCCATGTCGCACAGTGTGACATGCAATGATCTTATATGATTGCTACAGTCGTGCAGTGTGTCTCGGGCTTTAGGTACCAATTTGCATCTTTTAGAGGTAGATAAGGTACAAAGTTGTCCCTCAAAGGATACTGTCACAGTGACAAGTTTTCGTATCGCTAAAGGTACAATTGTTTGCACATTTTTATGACAGGGTATTATAGAATATAACCAAAGATATATATTTCTTGTTATTTGTTTTGCAACCCAACCACTCACTGTACTAGATTAGCACACTGCAAGCTTACTCTACACACATATCCTTTGAGACCTAAATGTAGACGTGACACCTTTCAACTTTCCACAAAGCATTAGCTACAGCCACAGATTAGCATGACCAATAAAAGCTAATGCTTAAAATGATAACGCTAATGACCACTGTGGGTTCTTGCTGCATCTATCTGTTTGAAAATGTTTTGGTGCATACTACATATACTTTAGCCTCTATTATTAATACTGTGTTTCACTGCTAGCAGCTGAGGTTTTGTTTGTGCATTCACAAAGATATAGCAGGAGTTGTGCTGCTAGTTCATTAGCGTTCTGTTGAGTGTATGTGTGTGTGAGTATCTCTACAGATCTTCCTGACACAGGCCACCCCTGCTGCATTGCTGATGGTGCTTGCGGTTTTGGAGCAGAGCAGACTGCAGTGTTGTGGCACTGTTAGTGCCTGGAGACTCCGATAAAGTCCTGCTCTTACACTGAACTTGACTATCGGATAGCACTAGGGCTCGTCCCATTTATCACCTCTTATATTACACATTAATATTCATAGAGGAGTAAAATACCAATTCAACTCCTCCCCAATTTCTCTCTTCTTCTAAAGGGCGATGACATAGTCACGCATGATCACTCTCAGAGTTCACGGCAGGTGAAAACGGCACACACACTGCAGCGTGCTGCTATAAAGTTTACTACCTCTGCTGTCCATCCTTATATTGCCATGATGCTGACATCAGCATGATTCATTCGACCTCTACTCTATGTACCACAACATTTTTAGCAGTATTTTTCTTTCTTTTGTTTTTGAGGAAGTCTCTCCAGGTATTTTCTGGCTCAACTGTACACACACAATCCTGTTCCCCTGAAGACATGGTATTATTAGTCTTTCTCAGGATGGGGTTAACACTTTTAAAATAATGCTGACATGGTGACATCCCACTGTAATCTGTAATCTAAAACGGCCCACTTTCTAACAAGCGAGAGAGGACAGAATGAGAGAGAGAGACAATGAATGAGAGGCTGAGAAGGAGGTGAGATGGCCGTGCCGACACACACACACACACACATTCAGTCCAGGGTTGTGACCTGAAGTTGAGACTTTGCAGATGAAAAGACCAGCTTGTTAGGTTTTGGATTTTCTAGACTTCTTAATTCAAATCCAATTTTCAACAAGGTTTAATGAGCAAGTGCAGGTTTTAAGACGGGACTATCTGTTTGACTGACCAATGGCAGATGAGAATGGAACCCCTAAGGGGGACATGGTGATGAAAAACAATATGAGTTGGAAGGAAAGATACTATCTCCACTGAGCAGTCACTCACAAAATGTTTGTGTTCTTTCATATTAAAAGATGATTCATATTATCATTCTCTTGCATTGAAATATAATTTATTTTTACAATCACCATTTGGCTTTAGGGGCTCTGTAGATGGGAGTGTCTGGGAAGCCTGTTCGGAAAAGGTCATAATTCTGTTGGGTGCCACTAGTTGTGCGGAAATTACACACTGCGGATCTAAGGAAAATGGAGAACAAGAAATCAGCAGAATATTAGCTATAAAATATATAGATTTTTAAAAGCAGCAGCTGAGATATTTTTGAGAGCAGCCCAGGCCACAAGCATTATTCCCTTAAGCTCTTTAACCCGTCACATTTGGATTTAGCAACCCTCAATCACACAACACCGCAAAATCAGCTTTCCCTCTCTGCTAAAAACTCCAGTGATGAGAGGACATGACTGCTCTACACTTCTCTTTCCAATGTTGAATATAGGGATAAAACATGCCAAAACAGATGGGGGCGAATTTGTTAAAAGAGTTGTGTCACCTTTTGTATATGGTAATTCAGGAGTGAAAATGCTCCTTTTTCACTAATCACCAACAATCCAGCATCTCACCAGGTGCTAACTGTGTTGGTATAGTGCTCAACCATAAAGAAGTCACAAAAGATGCTGCCATTTGCCTGGAGAAATTAACTTTGTGCTATTGCAGCTGACAGAAACCAATTTGGTTCAAACAAGATGTTTGTGTACATTTTCTAATGATTATGGCAGCAGTAATTCATCCAGTGATGGTCAAATAATGGAGAATAGCTATAGATCCAGACATGCTGTGCAGCAGAGAGCACTGTCAGCATTTTAAAGAGACAATTCAGGTGTCTGGATTGCAGTAGTAATGTTGCAGAGCAAAGTATGCCAGATTGTAGTAGTCTGCTGAATCCTCCACAACCTAAACGATAAGGAACTGTGCTGAAACAAATTTTTGAATGTGCCATTATCATAATTTCTTAATGGAATTGTGTTAAACAACCAAAAACGCAAACTAAAACAACACTCTCAGCGGGTACAATTCCCTCGAGTACTGATGGTGCAGTGTGAAGAGAGAGGGGTCAGTTTAGCTCTGCCCTTGAGTGGCATGATGTGGTAGCCACGGGAGGAATCACATTTGATAAAAAAAAAATTAAAGCCTTGCCAAAATTACAGAATGCTGACATATTTTATTCTTCCCCACCTATAGTGGTTTTGCTGTGATGAGCCACACACACACTCACACACATACATGTTTCCCTCTATTGCTCTCAGTATCACCTGGAGGTGTTATTGCTGGACTGGTTACATCTTGTGTGTAAGGCTTTTCGGTGCAGTGCATACAGGCTTACTGAGATCAATAATGTCCCTTCCAATACAGGGCTCAACAATAAGGATGGTCCGATGGCCAGGGCCAGTGAAAATGTTTCCGGCCAGTTCACTTGCCCTATCGGGCCAGTGCATTCATTAATCATCTATGTGTGGTTTAATGCCTTGCAAACATTGTTTTTTAAAATATATTTACTTTATTTTAAAATGCTTATTCCTGTGATGGCAAAGCTGAATTTTCAGCAGCCATTAATCCAGTCTTCAATGTCACATGATTCTTCAGAAATCATTTTAATATTCTGATTTGGTGCTCAAGAAACATTAATATTAATCAATGTTATTATTATTATTATTATTTTCAGTGTTGAAAACAGTTGTGCTACTTAATATTCTTGTGAAAATTGTAATACATGTATTTTTATTTTGAATAATTTAATGCATCCTTGCTGAATATTGATATTAATTAAAATATATATATATATATATATATTTTGACGATAAAAATTTATATTTTTAAAATGTATATTCAAATTCTGATATTATAATTTATATTATATATTAATATTTCTTATAATTTGACAATATCATTATTATTCATCAATATCTATATAATATTTGTCAGGGTGAAAACTACTAACCTGACAGGGCAAGCAAAAAAAATCCTTATTGTAAAGCCCTAAAAAAAATTTTTTATCAATCCATCATTTGAGCAGTCAGTCAGTTTGTGACCCCTTAAAAAGTATTTTCAGCCTTCCATGGAGTTGTGCAGACAGTTTAGAAGAGTCTTCCATCTTCTATTCGTTAATTTCACACTGCATGAGTCTGGAGAGACTGCCTTGTATATTTTCCATTTAAATGCCTTTCTTTGACCGAGCTAGTAAATAAAAGCTGAGATTTGTTACTGGATAAGTTTTCAAGCCTCTCTACCTATTTGTCTTTTTCCCATTTCCTTCCATCTTGCCGTCTCTCTCTTAAGTGTGAAACACAGTGTTGTCACCCTGCCCCAATTACATTACTAACACTGGGAAGAGCTTTGTGTGTGTGTGAGCATTATTTCTATGCTTTTAACCAAGACCAACCCTCAGATCTGTCAGAAACAGCAATCTTTTTCAGCTGAAAGTGTCTGAGTCCACCTATAAGAATAGAAATACATCTAATCTGTCTGTCCTGCCCTCCTCTTCTCTTAATCTAAAACTAAATGTTGACACATTCTAAAAAAGTGCACTTTAAACCTCTTTATAGAAAAGAAAACTCCTTCGAGCTGTCGCTGTCTGTTCATCAAAGATTTCCCAGCGTCCTTCTGTCCTCTGATCACACCTGCATGCCTGGTTTGCTCAGGTCCCCATTGCCATGGTTACTCCCTCCTTCTCCTCCTCCACTTCCTGCCCCTCGGGTGACTGTCTCCTCCTCATCCTCGCTGTCGAGCTCCTCGCTCTTCCTCTTGCTGTAGCGCTCGTATAGAACCATGAGCACGCCCATCACCCATGCCGACACCGTCCCGGCGCTAAAGATTACGAAGCCGATGGCAATGAAGAACAGGTAGTCCCAGTAACCCAGTCCCTGGTGGCATTCCGATCGCAGCTGCATGCCCACCTCCGCCAGGCGCTGACCCAGCATGTCCAGCGGCCCCTGGCACACCGTCTGCCCCTCATCTAGACAGAAGTTAGAGGAGAGGATGAGGGCAGGAATAAAACAACAATAATAATATAAGATTTTTGCTTTATAAGAAATTGATAGTCTTATTCAACAAGGATGGATTACTTTGTTCAAAAGGGACAGTAAAGATTTTATAATGAGACAAGCATTTCTATTTCAAATAAATGCTGTCTTTTTATTCACTTTATATTCACCAAACAGTCCAGAAAAAAAGTTTCCAAATAAGGGTAACCCTTTATGTATAATGCATTATAAAGGGTTATTAAAGGGTATAATGCATTATAATAATTCATAATCTATGTTGTAATAAATCATATCTTCTTGTAAATAATAATAACCAAATTTAAAATACATAGTGTAACAATAAACTGATAAGTGTTATAATGTATTAACTATGTACTATTTAATCTACTATTAAAATTATTCATAAGATTGTACAGTGCATTATAAATTCATAATCTATGTTGTAATAAATCATATCTTCTTGTAAATAATAATAACCAAATTTAAAATACATAGTGTAACAATAAACTGATAAGTGTTATAATGTATTAACTATGTACTATTTAATCTACTATTAAAATTATTCATAAGATTGTACAGTGCATTATAAGGTGCATTACAAGGCATAATTAATGCATTAAAAATACTTTTATAATGCATTATACATAAAGGCTTAGAGTAAAGTGTTATCAAAAGAAAAATTAAGCAGTTGTCAACATTACTAATAACATGAAATGTTTTTGAGCAGCAAAACAGCATATTAGAATGATTTCTGAAGGATCATGTGACACTGAAGACAGGAGTAATGATGCTGAACATGTTAAAATATAGTAAAACATGTTCTTGAAAAATATTATAAAAATACATTAAAAATAGTTATTTAAATTGTAAAATTATAATAACATTTCTCAATATATATTTATATTAAAAGTATTTTGGCCTTATTAATATGAGTGCATTATGCAGGCATATAAGAATATTCATGGGAATGACTAAACATGATGATTTTTTATGATTTTTATGAATTTATATACAAATAAATATCTAATATACTGCTGCACTATGTTTAGGCTGACCATAGGGTCCATTTTGACGGGACGCACCCTTGCCAGGATTTCTATATTGCCTAAAATATCCAGGTTTTGGCTGTTAGCACTGTGCAGATCGATCGCTGTAAGAAATTATTTCACGAGAGCTATAGAGAGCAGAGCAGACGGCTCCTTATGCTTTCAAATTGCTCTCGCGGTACTTTGGTGTCATAAAATGATCGGTACGCATCTTCAAGTCGAACGAACAAACACGTGCGCGTATTTGCATCGCTTTGATCGTTCTCACCTTCTCACGCGCTCCGCCCCACGATTGATCGATTATGTACAATACCTGCATGTTATTGGTCAAACTACTTTGGATGTTTTAGGCAATATAAAAATCATGGCCAGGACGTGTCCCGTATAAATGGCACATATGGCCACCCTAACTATGTTTCATATAAATGTACCAATATAAAAATATATAAATACACACACACACATAAACATAACATTTTTTAAACATATTTAGATGCAAGTACAAATGTACAATTCTATATATTATATCAAATACAGACATTCTTATGATTAATAATATGAGTGTTTATGTATGAATGTACATTTTAGCAAACATACTAAAACCTGAAAAACAACATGTTTACTATTAAACATGCTGAACGTACATTTTTAAAGTTTTTTTTCTCATTCTGACAATTTCATCCTCCCTGTCACTCTCTCTCTCTCACACACACACACACACACACACACACACACACACACACACACACACACACACACACACTGTCTTGAGCCCTCCAGCAGTGGCCCTGAGGAGGAAACAGGTCAGTAACCATCATCCCCATCTTTAAGTCTGAGCCCAGCAGAGCATCAGCCTCTCATCTCGACATATCAGCCTGACAGAATGATCCACAAACACACTCACACTGAGACTGAGGCCGGACACAGCTCAGCTTCTGTGGTCCTCAGTTTCTCATTACATACGGTGGGTACTCAATAAAAAAGGTAGTTAAAGACTTCTCTTTTCTTCATTTGTCTTTTTGACATTACCCTCAATATCTTTTGTCTTATTAACTAACGTCTGGCCGTTTGGCGATGTGAGTTGTTAGGAGAAATGATGCCACGTCACCTTTAATAAAAAAGCACTAATTTCTTCATTACAAAGACGAGAAGAGACTGTGAGAGAGCAGGGGTGGCAATAAGTCACCTCGGGGTTTGATTGTCCTGGAAAGAGTCCTGCATTCAGCAGAGATTTAATGAGAACCTTGACCAGCCAAATGTATTTCAAATCTCAGTGTTTAATAAAAAATAAAGCCAAAAGTTTCTTTAAAATCATGTCCAAATTAGTTCACATTTTTGAACTTGGATGACCTTTAAACCAAGTGTTTCAAATGCTAGATGATTTAGTTGAGATGGTTTGGATACCTGAGACAAACAAATGCACGCCTAGTCAAAACACCTATAAGGACTGTGTACAGTAATAACAAGCTTTGTTTTCAAAATGTTTTGTGATTTACAGAAACTAGGAATTACAGGAACTAGGAATTAAATTTAAAGAGCTGATTAACTATTTTTAATCATTGAACTTTCATGGCATTTCCATTCGCTCTTGATTTCTACCAGTGAAATATTTGAGTAGAAAGAAATTGTTATGTTCTGCATGTTCTCGTTTTATGATTTCATTAATTTTCATGAATGTTCCAGTTCTAGAAATACATTTTTAAATTATGCTACTTAATACATCCAGGTTTTCCACGATCAAAGGTTAAGAACCACTGAATCCATCTGTATTATTTTATTTGTTATTTGCTGAAAATCTTCTGCTCAGCAATCTCAGACCTCATTCTAGTTTACTGAAATATGTTGATTGGTTACAAGAAATGCGAGAATCAATTCAGTTTAATGTCATTGACGAAATCACGAAGGAACTAATGGAATTACTTTTTATGTACGGCATCTATTTTCTGTGTAGATTATGAAAATATTTCCCAATAGGGTCAGTTTTGCAATTAGTTCCAAATTACAAAAACATTAGAATCCCTCAAACATTTCATTAGGCTTCTTTGCCTGGGAACATGTACGTAAACAAAACCCAACATCTGACCCATGTTCAATGGAGAAGCGTGGAAAAGACCACCTGGTGCTAAAGACAGGGATTACAGGTAACTAATCTTCTCCCATACAGGCAAAAATAGCAGACAGACATTATGCAAGTCATTATGATGATTAGTGTGTCCCATACCCTGTGAACTGGGCCAGGAACAACCACCTGCCCCAGCAGAGACACTGTGACCTCTGGGCTTTATTTGCAGTCAAGTTGGTCTCCCACTACACTCATATGAGCCATGAGGTTATATCAGGACAAACGAGGAAAATGTGGAGCTATCTGAGGCGCCCTGTGCTTTTATATTAGCCACGTTTTCCAGATTAGATTAGATAGTAATCCGATTATTAAAAGACCAAGTCTGAACTTTCAATGCCCTTCAAGATGCACTCAAGGTGCAAAAGGATCATTCTGAATTAATTTACAGCTCAAATAACACATCTTTCTACAGAAGAATTAACAAAAATATGACCTGCTATCAATCCCCTGGCCTAAGATGTTCATGGTATGTTCATTTTTTATTTGATCATTTCTTACAATACCATTTAAAAGTTTGGGGTCAGTAAACACCACAGAACGATAATGATAAAGTTAACTATAATGATAACTATATTTCTATCATGACAACTCTAGGAGGGTATGGGATGAGAACGATAATGATAAAGCTAACTATAATGATAACTATATTTCTATCATGACAACTCTAGGAGGGTATGGGATGAGAACGATAATGATAAAGCTAACTATAATGATAACTATATTTCTATCATGACAACTCTAGGAGGGTATGGCATGGTAATGTACATGACAATGTTAATGTGTTTGGTCTTGGCGGAATAGATCTGCTGTACCGAGACTTGCTACTGCCAATACATCCACAACGTGCTGCTGTGAGCATGTAAGAAATACTGCTGCTGAACATAACACATATGAAATAACCCCGTAGCATACACGAAGCTCCCCATAGCAGATCTATACAGGTGGAGCTGGGGAAGGTGGAGGGTTTCTGAAGTATGCTCCAACTTCTACAGCAAGCACTAGCCAAGTATTTGAATGTTGAGCAGCGAGCTCATTGGCCGTGGAAGCAAAAAGAACCAATCAGCTGCACCGTGTGATGATGTCATTATGTCAGATTGAGTTAGACCCATCTGACTGCGCCATCTAGAGTTTCATGACAGAACTTTGGATTAGTGTCCCATTTTGAAAGTAATTCCAACAGTATTGTTCCTCTGAGCCATTATCATTACAGTTGTGGTGTGGACTAAATGTATTCTTTTAAATTTAGAATGATTAAAAAAATTATCCTTATTGTTATCATCCTTATTGTGAATGGGCCTTAAGACTTTTTAATATTTGTGAAAAATTATCTTATACTCGTAAAAAAATACAATAAAAACTGTAATATAGTGAAATATTATAACCATTTAAAATACCTGTTTACTATTTTATAGTATTTTCAAATGTAATTTATTCCTATGATGCACTGCTGAATTTTCAGCATCATTACTCTAGCCTTCAGTGTCACATGATCCTTCAGAACTCATTCTAATATGCTGATTTGGTGCTGAAGAAATATTTATTAGTTTTTGTTAGTATAGAAAATTTAAAAGAACAGCATTTATTTGAAAAAAATAAATATATTTTTTTCACCCATTATAAAATCTTTACTGTTACTTTTTATCAATTTAAAGCACAATTAATTGCATATTATTGCTGTTGTTGCTATTAATGACAATATTACTTTTTTATATATTATTTTTATGATAATTGAACCCAGAATATTTATTGAGACCACAAATCTGAGATATATTTGGCAGCACATTATAAATGGCTTGCAGGCAAT